TATGCTAGTAATGTCTCTCCCTAATTGCTTCTTGAACTGAACAATTGGTGCCTGTCCCATGATACTTTTTAAAATCAGTATTGTGTTCATATTACATTTTCAAACTTTATATATATATATGTGTGTGTTTCAATGTGTATATTTTTCTTAAAAATCTGTTTATTAGTAGTTACCTTGTTCCATAAGAATACTTAAAAAGACTACATTGACAGTATTTCTATGGCTTCAAGATCTCTGGGAAACAAGAAATAATATAATTACTATTATCATATTACAAATTTTATTCTGTAGATTAAAAAATATGTCTTTCTATTAGCATCCAACTGTCACCCAGATGACTGTTAAAGTTTTCTGTATACACCTGAATATATCTTTAAATTTTTTAGGTAATGAATTATCCAAGTTATGAAACAGTATTTAGTATGTGAATTTACCTCCATTAATATATGATTAAACAAATACTCTAAAGATATAATGATAACATGTTGAACATGGATATAATTCTGTCAGTTTGTTACCAGTTTCCCCAATGTTTGGATAACTACACAACACTCTTTAAATGTCTTGAGTACTTTATCTTGCTCTGTTCTTGCATACATGTATAGGATTCACGGTTTTGGTAAATTTATCCTTTATAAATTCTTAGCAGGTGATAAAAGTAAATGTTGATCATCTCTGATATGAAATATTATTACTCCTTGGCATGACAGTTCTCTGACAACCTTAGTCAGCTTTATGGCAGATGCCAATTCATCTCTCTTAATTGTTTCTTGCCTCTGTCTCATCATACCATCTAGGCATATATTCAGAATGAGCTCACATCTCACCTTTCCTTAGACTCTTCAGGCAAATATGAGGATAATACCTTGATGAGTACTGCCTTCAAAATCCTTTTTAATTATTTATTCACCAGCCATTCTTCACTTTGACACTGTATAGTCTGAGAAACTGTAATTTCATAAACCGCAAACCACATACCCCAAATCTCAGTCAGCAAGCTAGAAGTCATGCTCTTATAAAGTTTCCTTAGTTGTGTCCCTAAATTTTGCAGCCAACATCCATTCTTAGGTACTGAAAAGGCTTCTATAGCAGTAACACTGTAGACTTTTCCATTTATGATCCTGCTACTCCTATCATAGACTATGTACTGACAGCATCATAATGTAACCCTCAAAGAAATATGTACATATACTTTCTTTTTATAGAATAACACATTAAACCTCAGCAACCACAAAATCAGTTTTAAAAAAGCATAAGCAGTGACAACATTAACATAACAGATAATGAACCTGACACACTGAGACACATAATCCTCCATAGCAATTACATACATAGCACACAGATTTGCATCTCAGAGTCTGAGAAATGCTTTCACATGTTCTATCTGTAGGAATATCCAATGATAAACATTGAGGCACTTATAGCAATGATGTCTTTTGTAATGCATGTGAGTTTCCCATCAGATAAATTCATGAAATTTTCACAGTAAGTCTTGTTACAACACATCCAGAAATTTTAAATAAAGAAAAGCTTTATGTCAGCATACCAGAAATCTAAAAACTTAAATTTTTCCGTGCAAAAGGATGGCTTCACTAAAGCAACTACAAGCATAAAGTGTCAGTGTAAAGTACTGAATAGTATCTTGTTTGAAGTGCTTGAAATGTATATAGAAAGGAAAATTCTTATAAGGTGAATGTATGTCAGGTAAGTCAGAGAAGAAATATAGCACACAGAGTGAGATGAGACCAGACGTGAACTTGTTATTCATGAATTACGTAATGATGCTGTCAGTATCACATTGAAAGACAGAATAATTATGGAATAATAATTTCAAAAAGATGTGGATGGAAGCAGACATGGCCCAATTTGAGGCCCTATTCCAATATTTATTTGGAGGGACTAAGGAAAACCATAGAACACATCATTCATAATAACTGGATTGTGAACAATGTCTTTATGACTACAAGTGTGAAGTTGAGCAGGTTTCTATAGCGATAATTCAGGATTCAGGATATGCTGAGTTTGAATCTCATGCAGGATACCAGCTATTCTGACAGAATTTTCTTCGGTTTCTCCAGGCAGTTACCAATATAGTACATCAATTGTACCATGACTGGTTCCTTCCAGATCCTTTCCATTTCATCATTTATCCTTCCAATTAATGCTATATAGTCTGGATACTTAAAGGATTGTAAAGTAACCTATTTACACATCCACACAAACAGAAGTGCTAACCACTTGATCAGATAATGCACCAGATGATACAAGGGAGATGGAAAATACCAAGAATAACAAGTATTTTGAAGAGTACAGTCTTATTCTTATACTTTTCTTCTACCCTGAAGATGGGGGCGATACGTTCCTCCGAAACGTCGGTTAACACCACATATACACGGTGCCAAATCCCAGAAGACTGCTTTCTTCATAGTCACCGCCGTGAAAGCCTCAAATCTTACATAGAGCCATGTAGTTTCGAAAGAACCTGATGTTTCAGAGGAACATGTTGCCCCCATCTTTAGGGTCGAAAAGTAAGTCAAGTTAATCCAGCTTTTGCTGGTTTCTTACATATGAGTAGCATTATGTTCAGCCCTAAAAATGGAGCTTATATATTCTTCATAAAGATCAGGCTGTCTCCAAACTGACTGGCATTACAACCCCATGAGACATCAAATCCAAAAAGTGCTTTGTTTTATTTTGATTATTTAAAATGTAATTGTGATGGTATTTTTTTCGTTTTTGCAAATACAGGGGCTATATAAAAAATAGCCTTCATTGAAATGTGAAGCTGTTAAATTATGGAAGTAATTATTCTGAACTGTAACATGCAAATTACAGTGTTCCATTTAGGTTACTTAAAATTTGTTAATAGATTTTTATTGCATTTCATGGCCAGGGTTCGATACCTGGTGGGGGAAATAGATTTTTCTCTTCTCTGCAGTATCAAGACCGGCTATGGGCACCAGGGGCTCTTTCTGCTGGAGTAAAGAGGCCATGGCCTGATGCTCGCCACTCACCTCCATCTACTGCTGAAGTCAAGAATGGTGGCATTATACCTACACTCCCTCATACTTCTCCATGGCATGGTGCTTGATTAATTATACACAAGGACAAATTTACCTACACCTTTTACCTTTTCTTTGTAATACAATTCTTAAAATTTGAAATCACGTGGACCTAATGCCAAGGAAATCTAGAGGAAACTTAAAAACACCTGCCTCTTTGATTAATCAAGAATTCAATGACATCTTAATTCACTTCCCTGTGAAATGTCATCTGAACACATTTTAGAATATTCATCAGAAAGTAATGGTGCATACTTACGAAGGACACACAAGCACAGCAAGATAACCTGTCAACAAGATGATTTTGTTATATTTTATTAGTCACATATTTAATATTTTCGTATGCATGAAATATTGTCAGATGTAATAATATTTATCATTTGCATGGTAGGATGCCTGATTACAGGATCATATTACTACAAGCTGATTCCATTCATTGTTAAGAAAAATAAAGATAAAACATGTAAAATTCAATGAACAAAGAGATCTTAAAGCCTGGATTTACTGTCAGAATATGGTTGGTTTTTGAAGACTTATCATATTTTATGACACCAGTTGTTAATTTTAAAATAATTTGGTTATCACTGGTTTTTGGCAATATTGTATTTTCAAGAATAAGTAAATACATTCATTTTTAAATATTTGCCATAATGGATATCATACATATAATCTTGTTTATAGAAATATGTTACAGCTCAGACACCAGTAGTTGTTTAATCAGTCTTTTACATAAGCTTTACTAGGGAGAAGAAAAGGACAAAGTAGAACTAGTAGTTGAAAGAATCACAAAATGTGCTAATAACGAATAATGTACAGTTTCAAATTCTTTGGCTTCAGAAATCTAGCAATAAAATTTATAACAAATTTACCGTTTATGTTGATATAATTAAATATGTTTTAAGATCTGGATTTNTGGCCTTGTATAGAGGCAGTTGTTAGCAGACAAACAGCAGCAGAAATGAGATTTTTAAGAAGTATAGAAAGAAAAATCAGGGAAAGGAAAATAAGGAAGAAAGCGAAGAAAAGAAATCTGTAGATAAATATGTTAGAAGAAAAATTAATATTGTATTTTAGCGTCCTGTTGCACTGATCTTCGTCCATGATATGTAAGCAATGTCCGTCTTTTAGTGCACTCAATTTTACTTGTTACTTCACAACATGTTTCGGCACTACAGTGCCATCATCAGGTGCTCTATTTACGTCAGTCTATTTCATTGCTTGCCATTACATCATTGTAAGATTTAAAAAGTATTTAAAAATGTTCATCAATTATAATATATATATATATATACTAAAAACTAGTAAATGGAGCACCTGATGATGGCACTATAGTGCCGAAACATGTTGTGAAGTGGCAGGTGAAATTGAGTGCACTAAAAGACAGACACTGCATACATATCATGAATTTATTTTTCATTTGCATTTACTTAACTTGTTTTTGAATCTGAAACAGTACTTATTGTTCATGCAGTCACTTCTCCTCTTTACTACTTCTCACAAGTGAACATGTTATAAACAAAAGCTTCAAAAACCAACGGTTTATATTCAGGAACTGGAGAATTTCCTGGTTACAATTCTCTATAGTGATAAATATGTTGAAATACATGGTAGTGAGAAAAATTAAAGTTTCATTTTGTTTTCAGTTAATGAAGAATCATGAAAGTCTATCCATGCAATTAAAAATTAACATTATTCTATAAATAACATGTCTTTTCATTAGGGTGCACTGAGAACACCAACGAATAATTTTCAGTTTAAATGTCTCTACTTTGAATTAGTATGTTGTGTGTAAAAAACAGTGCCAGGAAATTTTTCAGTGGTCATATATTTGAATTTAATGATATGTGTACCCCATGTCTCTCTGTAACCAGTTATTCCATGATTCCATCTTCCTTTACCTTCTCTATAAGGATATGTCTGTTGTTTCTCTCTCTGTAGCCGAGTGTCAGTCATGAGAGGACAGGTGGTGACCCCACAGGGGCTTGGTATTGTTGGCATCCGTGTGAGTGTGGACAGAGATTCAAGGTTCGGCTTCACGCTCACTCGAGCAGGAGGATGGTAAGTTCTGCCTCAGGATGTTTATGTTATCTAAACACCTTGTTTGAAATCATGGAAAATGTGACTGGATGTGATCCAACTTGCTTACAGAGGCTCCAGCTTTATCCTCATGAACTTTTGACAGCCCTAAAACTTTCCCAGTTTTCGTTATCAGTGACTGAGTCAGACACTCAAACAATTCAATACTTCAGGTTGTTGCAGCAGTGAACGTGAAGAGTATAAATTTCTGGAATAAAATATCACATAGTTTGATATACAGCAACGATTTGGAGGTTCCGTCTGTATTAAATTTCTAATCTATCTGAAGATTTTCATCATTTTGAATGTATTGATATCCACTATCAGCTTGTGGAGCCTGTCGCAGCTTCCTGAGGGCTTGTGTTGAAGCTTATGGGTTTCTGTGGTGGCAGTACTGCAGCAGTGGTTCTCAGCTTTTGTGACCATGTGGCCCGGTATAATTTATGCCAGTGTCCGGTACCTGGCCACGGCCCGGCAGTTGGGAAGCACTGCTCTACATGTTAATGGGCACTTTCTTACTTATATCCCTCTCGCCCGCATTGTTGACGCTGGTGTCAGACTTTTGGAGGGAAGAGTGAAATCGCCAGAATGCTGCAGACCACTCACCTCCATTCAGTACTGAGGTTAAGATTACATAGAGGTTACCTCCACTCTGTCTGTAACTTTATGGTATGGCGAATGGACACAAGGAAAACTATTTATGCACCTTTAACAGACTGTTTCTTTTCCATGGACTGAAACATGTAGTGTAATAGACAAGTAGAACTGATTGATAATTGATTCTATTAAAATCATATCCAGTCTATTTCGTTGTTGTGTCAATGGACAAAATACCACCCAGCATTAACAGTAGTTCTTAAAGATTTTAACTGACATTGTCAGTAACACAGAAATTACAGTCTACATCATCTGTTACCTAGTAATTATATTTGCTGTATTTATATAAATGAATATTCTGAACATGAAAATACCATAGAGGAAGACCTGATCAAGATGGGAACATGATTATGGGTAAGATGTCGTGCGGAAAGAGGGAGGGAAATTGAGGAGAAGGGAGCTTGGGAAAGACAGAGACAGGTGTAGGTGTTTGCTCTCTAGATGGCCCACATTACATTACATTGCATTGCATTCCATGGATCCAAAGTTAGTCAAAATGACTGTAGGATGTGGAATATGTCATAAAAATACAAAACATATGTACAGACCCAATGGAGTTCTCACACAAGAGAAACCTAGAATACACAGTGACTACACACAAGGCTATTTAAAGATACATAAGTATGTGGAAGTATCAAATGAAGAAAAATATTTTCACAAACTGTAAAAAGGGTTTTTAAATAAACACTTTCAGTCATTATAGCCATATTGTGCTTATCTCAGTACCATCTTTATAGCATGACATTTAATGTGTTCAGGTTTGATGTGTTGGTGAATGGCGGTGGAGCGGTAACTTTGCAGTTTCAGCGCAGTCCATTTCTTCCCTTAACCCGTACAGTGTTTGTCCCATGGAATCAGATTGTGGTTCTTCCGCCTGTAGCTATGCAACTTAGTGATGATACTGACATCTATCGTGATGCTGGGGGAAACAGCCTTCCATATGGTAATGTTACATTTCAGAATCCTCTTAAGAAATAATGCATGACTTTTCTTTTCTTTGAGATTGAAAAATGAGATGACAAAGATTGTCAAATTATGTCAAATCTAATAAAATATGTTCCCTTTTATTTATTATTTTCTTAAAACAAGCAATTTCACTGAAATGTGCTGTGATTATGTCTATTTGACGAATTAATTTGCTTAATTCACAGATATTTTCAGTACAAATGCATGAATAGATTAATCCACAATCTTCAACAAGAACATTCACCATTCCCTGTAGATTCACTGTATAATGATGCAAATAGTTCTTGATTTCATGGTATGGTCAATGAAGTCAGTTCTAGTCGAATTTAAAGGGTTCTGAGGTGGTGAATGACACACAGAATTACTGGGTTTTTGGATTTTTTCCATCATCCAGAATTCTAGATAATAGAGGACACGATGTTTCCGAAACTGGATATGTTCTCGTCTTCAGGTGATAAAGGAAGACACCTACTCAGTTGGGCCAGTTAGAAAGGGTTGAGATTAGCTCTCTCTAAGGGGCCCAACTGAGTAAGTGTCTTCCTTTCTCACCTGAATATGGAAACAAATCCAGTTTCAAAAATGTCGTGTCCCCTATTACCTAGAGCAGCCGTGTCAAACATGTGGCCCCCATAGCCACAAAGTGCGGCCCCTCAACTTTTAGAGCTAATTGATATTAAAATCAATATTAAAATTTTAGTAGAAATATTTTTTGTAAAGGCAATTTTCCAACAGACCAGAAGACAAGAAGTCTCTTGCAGACATAAATTAGAAGGCTGCAGGAAATTCAATGTTTTGCTATTTCTAACAGAATTTCTTGTGTAATCTCTCTTTTTACATATTGAAAAGTTGTTTGATACTTGTCAAAAATGGCATTCTCTTGCTTTTTAAACTGTAAGATATGTGACTTTATGTATTTATATTGAAATTATTCCTAAATAATAAATATAATTAAATTTCCTCGTATCAAAATCTAACGTGTATTTCTGTTTTGAAGTGCGGCCCTGGACTATTATTTATAGGGCTGAAGTGGCCCTCTGTATGAGTTTGACATGCCTGGCCTAGAGTGTCCTCTATTACCTAGAATTCCGGACAATGGAAAAAGTCCAGAAACCCAGTAATTCTGTAAGTCAGTTCTAACTTCACTTACTCATTTTATTCCCAAAGTTCTCCTGTTCTTTTTGGTTTAAACTCTACTGTTTACAAAAGAATTGTCTTACATTTTTTGTCAGTTTTCTTACATTCGTCCAAAAGTGATTTGAATACCGAACATTAATGACAAGAGTTTAGAATTGTATTTATGCCTGCATACATTTGAAGAACAAGTCACTATTTTTCAATGTGGAACATCTTTTTGGGTGGTTTGTGTGTTCTGTTTTTGCTCAAGCTCTTTGCCACATATTCTGTTTTTGTCTGCAGTCCATATTGATGAATATTTCTTAAAATATTGCTCTTTTATTCTCTTTCTGAAGCATGTCACACCTTGCTTAGGCAACCTCATGGAAATCTCGTTTGTTCAAATAGTTCTCTTGTATGGTAATTCTGGTTCCCATCCTATGTTGAAAATAAAATCTGTAAACACCTCTTATTATGATGTAATGATCTGCATCACCACCTGTCAGTGATGTACCCTCAAAAATGTTTTAGACACAGTTGTGGGGCTTTCGTCTTGTCATTACTTCAGTGACAACCCACTTCTTCGGAACAGTTTTGTAGGTCCTGAAAAGGACCATTGGTTGCTGAGATGCTTGACCGGTGAGGTAGCACGGCGTGCACCGGTAGGAAGGGATGTTGGTTGCAGTGGATGTTGACTGGCCACAGTGCGGCTGTTGCTGGAGGTCGCTTGATAGCAGTGCGGCAGTTGCTGGAAGTTGCTTGATCGCAGTGGGGAAGATGGTAGGGGTTGCTGGAAAAAGGTTCGCTGGCCGAGCGCGGTCGCAGGAGTGGAGAGGTGGTAGCTATGCCAGTTGCCCAGTGTGTCAGGCATGACTACCGGCGAATCGAGGCGGCCGAGTTGCTCAGTGAGTCGGGGGTGTGACCGCCAGACAGCCGAGGCGCAGCGAAGTGCCAATGCCTCCGAAGACCAAGCGCTGGCGATGAAGTGTGCTGGCTGATGTTGACTGATCGTAGACTGATCGTTGACTGATCGTTGACTGATGGAGCCGGGTTGGAGCTGCTCCTTTTTATACCAAGTGTGATGGCGGAGCGAAAATTTGCTGAGCGCTGACTGGCTAGCGTGCATAATGATGTGGATGCGGGCTAGCAGCAAGCACTTTATAAAAGCGGACTTTGGAAGAAATTTGATTGGTTAGCACGCATGATGGTGAAAAAGTGAGCACTATAGAAATAGCATGATATGTGGGATGTTCCCACACAGTTTTATTATTTACTATACCAGTCAAATTTTCATCCATTTTCTTGGACTTCTTTTCCCATCCTTCTGTAATATAATAAAAAATTAACTAAATTCATGCTCAAGCTATGTTAACTCCCACCACAACATACTCAGTTTCTTCCCCATTTTTTCTTCTTCTTCTTATTCTTCTTCTTATTGTCTATCAACAAAAACAGCTTCCAAATGTCTTATGTCACCACATAATTCTTAGTGTTGAATGGTCTAGCTAGAAGTGCACCTCCAGTCACTAAACGTTCAGGAACATAATACTTGTATATCCTCTTCTCCACTCAATAGGGTCTGTAATCTTTTTTCAGAATAAGCGGTGTGCATTATGTAGTGTAAACGGCACAAAATTTCTCAGCATTAATTAAGGCATTAATTTAGGAAGCAGGTAGACACGTTCAGAAACTATGCTTCCACACATGCTTCAATATTGAAAAGAGAAAGGATACAGTTCTGTCAGTGTTTTCACTTGTCGGGTTTCTGTTCCTGCATGACCACATTTGTAAACAGCAATTTTCCACTGGTAACTCAATGGTAACATCTGACATATTCCCCTTATGGACCAGTGTTGCCATATTGACTTTCAAGAAAATGTGTTTACATCAGGATTATGTATCTAATTATTGTCTCCCATGAGCCTTGCTGCAAATAGATTTAAGGGTGTGACTGCTTCCACCATCCTAATTTTATAATTTATGAATACTAAAACAACTTTACATTTCTTTTAAAATTTAAGACAGAAATGCATGATATTAATTGAAACGTTTTGATCAAGTTTATTTACTAGAAAGAAAGAGAACAATGTGGATCACCTGTAGATTATTCATAATAATGTGGGAAGTAGTGGTGCAGGCAATATGTAACATTGGATCAGCTAAATATATTTTGGATCTGTATTATAAAGCCCTTTGCATTAAATTCTTGAGATATAAATGTAGACATTTAACATGTTTAAACAGTTCTGACTGTTTGCTAATCTGCTGGAGAAGAATAAGACATCACATAAAATAAAATAAGTAAATAAGTCAAGGTAGAGTTTACTGAGCGTTGTGTAGTGTCAAAAGTATTCAGGTTTTTGTATAAGACAGGAGAACATGGTGGAATATTTTATCTGTATCAGAAATTTTTAAACACTTCACAGCCTCTAATTACATGAGAAATTATAATATATATTGTCTTGTACATTAATTTTTCTTTGAAATTTTGTTATAGTTAGTTATTCCTGATGCTGTCACTGTAGTTGCTGATAACTGGTAGCATACATTCAGATGTGAGGAACTGCAGTGATTCCACAAATTTAGTTTGTTTGTTTTTTTCTGTATGCATGTTTCTTATAATAAATATATTTTTTTATGTTCTGTACTTTGAACAGTCTATTCAAGAAGCACTAACCAGTGGGAGCTTCCAAGATTCTTCAGAGGTGAGGTCAGAAGCACTAAATGTTGATGCACTGTTTATTACATGAGCGTTTGTGCAAAATTAGATACTCACATATGTGGGCGTCTGTTATTTATTTTGTTGTATTTCTAAGAAACCATTCAGTCCTGTGTTCAGTGGATGTTAGGGTCCCTTTATCTTGGGCTAAGACAATCAGCTTGAAGGTGAACAGTCTTCATTTATCCCAAATTCATATATTCATGAAATTTTATTATTCTTCGTCTTCTTCTTGTTCTCCTTCTACTGCTATTACTACAACGACCACCACCACTACTACTACTAAATTGGAACACATAGGAAATGTTGACCATTCATTCATTCATTCATTCATTCATATTACAGCTGCACTGATCAGTTCTTCTTTTCATCATGTATCCAAGATTCCTTTGTCATTTAGATCTGTTTCAACGAACTTCTGTATTTACCTTTTGTCTGTTCAAGGAATATGTAAATTGATATTTGTTAGTGGTCCTGATATTATTTAAGGAGAATATTTTCATTGCAGTACTCATTCCTTCCTTATGAATTCTGTCCACATTTCAGGACAGGAGTTATCATATCTTTGTAATACTTTGTTATTATATTATTACTTTTTCTTTTATTTCTAAGCATTCTGTTATTGTTGACTTGTTCTATATCTGAGGCAGATGCCTCTCTGGATTTTTTGGAACTATAAATAAATGAATGAATGAATGAATGACATTACATAAGTATTTGAACACATGCAAATTCACAAGTATCTCTTTGTGATATGTATAAATATCACAATCTTAATCATGTAACTATTGCATCACTCAGATCTTTAATATGATTATCACTTATTACTTTTGATCTTACAAAATTCTTTATAGAACTTCACAGTGCCCGTATATCAGTTAACACTCTTGGCTTACATTCAGACATTCTCAGATTCTGATGTGATTAAAATGCAGGGTTATGTAATTTGTCCTGTTGATTCCTGCTTCATATTTTGTCACCTGCAAACAACAGTGTTTATTTGTGTACACTGTGTTACCTAAATCTGGTAAGACTTCTGGTTATTGTATCATAACTGTGTGTGTACATGTGTTATGTCTCAATGTATTCAACAACATTTTATATTCCTTTGTCTCATGAATTGCTTCATTGTCTAAAATAATTTAAATTGAATAAAGTGTATGATAAACTGCACATTCATGTAATCTCTATGTTAGTTAAATTATGCTCTGTCCTCATTTTATCAATGTATACAGCTTGATGTTTATCAGTTTGTAGAGCATTTCTGTCAGTAGGTGGCATCGAATGTTACATATCAATGTTCAGAGGAAAGAACAGGCTTTAATGATATTTATGTCTGTGTCATTTGAAGGTAATCTGCAGAGGGGTTGTGGGTTTTTTGTTTGCAACTACATTTACCCCCAAGCAAATTTCTGATAGTTTAGTAGTATAGTATAGTATTAATAATAATAATAATAATAATAATAATACAAAAATTGGACAGGAAAACAAGAAAAATGTTAACTACCTACGGACAGCATCACCCAAGAGCAGATATAGACCGTCTGTATGTTCCTAGAAAAGAGGGAGGACGAGGCCTGATACAGATAGTGGTGGCTTACGTGGCAGAAACCACAAACCTAGCAGAATATATGGAAGGAACAGAAGATCAACTGATGAAAATTGTTAGGACACACCAACGCAACACAAGTTCTTCGCCTAACACAGCCTGCAAGCACACG